ATCATTTTTTATAGAAATCCAATACAATTATATCGGATATTTTAAAAAATCCGATTACCTATAAGACTTACTAGATATTTTGAAAAATCCGGTACAAACCAAATTTTTTCAGAAATTTAGAAAAATCTAGTAGGCATTAGTGAGATTTAAAAAAACACACAACTTTTTGACATTTTTAACAACTATACCCGATAAAATATATACATATAATGCAAAAAGAACTACAATATTGTTGGAACAAAATTGGTTTGTCCCATATCCCTAAGGTTTTGATGATAACAAAGTATTTAAAGAATAATTGGGTATACTAATGTTTGTTCAAGTGTGTAGGATTATACACTAAAATTTGTGATACATACTAAGTTCTGACGCTGAAAATTAAACATTAAAGAGAAGATGAAAGAACTAAAATCTGAAGACCCTGACTCTGAAGAGGTCAACTTCTGAAGGTCATACTCTGAATACGTCAGCCTTTGAAGATCCAAACTCTAAAGACTCATACTTTGAAGATGGCTAACACAAAGATCAAGAAGAGTCTGAAGAGGTGAACTTCTAAAAAACATACCCTAAAGAAAGTCAACCTTTGAAGATCCAGACTCTGAAGACTCATACTCTGAAGTCAGTCAAGCGCTAGGATCAAGAAACTCTAAAAGGTCACTATTTAGACTCAGATTGCAATTTGTCTTCTTCTGATCACGTCAAGATTCAAGTTCAAAGATAGCAGAGATGGAACAAATAATTCCTTTCGGAGCAAAGGAATTTCAAATGACTATTGCAAAGGTTTAACCATATCAAGTAACATTCTAACATCTCTGATCAAAGTTTATCCAAAGACTCTCTTGTTCATAAAGTCTTCTTCAATGACTCTTTTCTGTCTCTCTCTATATAAGAAGATGAAGACTTGAAGAAAAAACAACGAAGAGCTATTACTTTGTTAAATCAAATGCACAAGATTAACTTAGAATTTCTCAACACCTGTATATTCTATAAATTCTTAAAAGTATTTTGTGTTGTATTCTATTCACACCTCTAATTATATATCAAGTATAATACTCAAACAATCTTTCATATGTAATTTATATTATTAGAAGTATCTTTCTTGTGTGTTTGAGCATTTGAAGTCTCTTGGTTGTATGCTTGAGCATTAGAAGTCTCTTACTTGTGTGTTTGAGCATTGAAAGTTTGTTGGTTGTGTGCTTGAGCAATTGTAATTGTAAGTGATTATAGTGAAATTCCTTGGAATTATAAGGGGACTGGACTACACCTAGTTTGTGGGAGGAACCATGATAAACTGATTGTATCTCTCATTCTCTCACCCTATACTCTCATATTGTTTTATCCGCTGCAAAAAACTTACTCTGAATTAGATTCTAGACTTTGTGTTCAGAATCTGATAAGAGAGTTTGAAAAGATAAGAAATAGTCAACATAATTCAACCCCCTTTTTGTGTTTTTCTCGCCTTCAAATATCAATACAAAACAAATTATGTTGACTTCCTAACTTCATATTACTAGTTCCTAATACACCTCACATATGCTGATTCTCATGCTCTTGCAACTTCTCTAAAATTATGTCTCCATCGATTTGTGATAGGAGGCAAAGGACAATTAGATTTCAACTTCACCAGAATCCAATGAATGTTGTCAATAAAACCAACTGCAATAATTTTGTGTCTACTCGAAGTTATGCATGGAGCTATCACTAATGGGAAGAATGTGATGGTAAGGTTCATGGGAAATGAGACAAATATGAAACTGTATCTAAAAGCAATAAGGTAACCCATATCAATAATCATCATTCACTTCTCATAAACCTGCACACCCAAGCTAGCTATTCGCAATGCATTCCTAACTTTAAGTATTGTGTCATATAACACGTTGGAATACATTTGATGGTGTTGATAAAATTTAATATCTAACTGAGTTTGAACCAAAGACCAATACTCTTCGTCCCATCCAAGTAAATCTGCAACAACACAGAAACCATAATTTTCATCTTTACCCGCATCAACAATGTCATCAATGTAAAAAAAGGGAAACTGAGACAAGTATTGTAGTTTTGAAGACTGATTACGCGATTGACTTTCAATTGGTTTTGTACATGATCTCTTCATAGTCTGACTTCCATGCAAGCCCTCAACATACTCCCACTACAAAGGATCACGATACACATCACTCTCTTCGTCCCTTTTTACTCTATTCACAATCTTCTTCTAAATCCAATTGTATCCCACTATCTTCTTCATTGAATAATTTCTTCAAAAACACATGAATCAGTTCTAACGGAACAAGATCGCCTTGTATTTGAAGACCTGCAAGTTCATACATACAAGATAACCTATGTGTTATTATAATGAAAGAACCACATGTAGTTTTGTCAAAATCAACAAATTTTACCCTTTCTAACTCCTTTCTAATGTGTCGTATACATTATCTTGAAATAAAGTCGTGTAATCTAGAGTAAAATGGACTGTTATACGCCGATGCATAATGTTCACAACATCCCAACTTCTACGTAAATCTCCCTTGCTAGATGTCAACATGTTTGTTAGTCTTCAGTGAGCAAAATCAATCCTAATAAACATAAATAGAAAAAGGATGACATTATTTGATAATTAGTAATGTACCTATATTTAAAGTCACATCAATTTACATGTTGGTTTCCATGTTTCCTAAATGAGCGATTTTATTAGTCCAAGCAATACAAATCTTTCTTTGTAGGGTATAAGTTTCGTGCACATACTGAACACATTTAGGAATATCAACACACATAATCTCAAAATGTTTCAGGTATACCAAAAACTCAAACTCTCTATTTGCATATATGATGTTGTTCCATAGATCCATAACATGCTCATGCCTATGTGATTCAACATACTCCTTGCACTTCATACTAGTAATTTTTGAAATATGAAACAGACATAACACATGAGTTGAGTTTGGAAACACAATTTCCACAACATTCATCAACACCAGTTCACGGTCTATAACCAAAACCTCTGGTAGCAATTTATTGAAAGCGAACAAATTTTTTAGCTTCTCTAGTGCCCATGTGAAGGTTTCCCCATTAATGTTCCATATAGGAAAATTCAACCAAAAATATCAACTTTGTGGATGTAACGCCAATAATCTCAAGTAGTGGTAGTTGATACCTCTTTGTTTTGTATGTACAATAAATAATAAAAAACTTCCAACACAAAATCAAATAACTGAAAATAGAAGCAATTGGAGCATGAAATACTTGTTTGTTTTGTATATACTATCAAAAATCAAAACTAGATGAAATATGTTCAACAACCTCACTGAATCAGGATGCATCCAAAAGATATCAATAACATTTGAAGAGTCCATATTTCTGTTCCAATACATGTATTTCTCTTCATAAATAAGACTCAACATGTGTTGCATTTTAGTCAATTGACCTTTGTTGCTCGTCTTGTATGTATATCTTGCCTTATACACTTGTGTGACACTCGTCCGATTTTCCGAATCTCTATATTTCAAAGCAACAATTATGTATTTGGGATCCATATTATATTTGGTCATGTCATTCACAAACTTTCTTTCATTATCTTTTAAACGATCTAATACGTCTTGGCCATCTAAGTCCTTAGCTAGGATATGATTGTGAAATCTACACCTAACTATATCCTTCCAACTCCCTTAAGTCAAATTCTACCTTTTTTAGTTTTCTCCTCTCTGACAACTCATAATCTATTTATCTCTCCTCCCTCTAATTCCATTTGGGGTATAAGAACGAATAGTAACAACATATACAAAATAAATTATCAATGTAACAAATATCATAAGCCTATTAGTTTTTGAGGAGATTAAAAATTAATCTAAATAAAACATATCGCGTTAATCGTGAAAAATTGAGTAAAATCTTTAAGAAAATCATCAAAATCTGAATCAAACAAATTCAACATTCTGAACTATCCAATTTTTTGATTTATATAAAAAATTTGATATACCAGAAATATTCAAAATAAATAAAAATCATAGTAATAAATAAACTATTAAACTTGAATTTCATTAAATGCGGTTTAAAAGTCCAACTATATATCATTTTCATTAATTCAAAAATCTAAAGAATAATTTTTTTTTCTTTCTATTTTTGATAGAAAAGTCCTCAAGTTGAAATAATGCCAAATTCTGAATTTTTTTAGGAATAATCATGTTTTGAAAAAAAATACACAACTAATCATGTTTCGGAGAAATTTATGCAAATAACCATATTTCAGAAAACGTTAAAATGCAGTAGTCATCTCAGATGTCGCATGCATTGATTTTTTTAAAGGAGGCGTCAAGTGAAATGACGCCTAACCATCTCTTAATTTTTTTTCAATTTACCTGCGGATTTTTCTGCTAAGTTGACGTTCCTTGCAGATTTACTTGCGGATTTACCTGCAGACTATTTTTCTACAGGTAATTCCGTAGAAAAATCCACATGTAAGTTCGCAGGTAATTTCAAATCTGCAAGAAAATTCACAGATAATTGAAAGTAAAAAATATATTAGAAGCACTTGACGACTCCTCTTTAATTTTTTTTTTGAAACATAATTATTTATATAAATTTCTTCAAAATATAATTATTTATATAAAATTCTCGTAACGTGATTATTTGTGTATTTTTTTTTTAAAACATCATTATTGTTTAAAAAAAAAATTCTCAAATTCTTTTTAGATCCAATGAACTAATCTCAAGTTGCCAACTATCACCATTATCATAACCCACAAACATTTTAATCAAATATTTGACTAAATTTGATTGGAAGAAAGCCAACAACCCCACGTGGTTTTTTCTCTTGTTTATCATTCATTACTCTCCACTAATCATATTACACAAAAACAATTAATTTCGAAGACTTTTAACAAAAGCACTCAAAGAACCTTATTAAGGTTTAACTATTCCCCTTAATAACCCCTACTTCTAACTAAGCCATAATATTCACACACGTTTCTCAATCAAATTCTTCATACATTGATTGAAAACCCAAAATGTGCCCTCTTAGGGTTATTCTGATTTTCTTGTCCGCAACTCTCGCCGGATTCTTCGTCCTAAGAAATCTAAGATCTCAACCTAAGATCGACGATGAAGATGAAGATGCTATTCTTCCTTCAAACCCTAAAATCTTAGATTCTTCAAATGCTGCATCGAATGGAAATTCTAAGGTTAACCCATTTCACCCTTTTGCTTCAATTTTAATAAAAAGGATGTTTTTTAAATTAACCCTAAGTTTTTTGATTTTAGGTTTGGAATGCGTTGGAATTTGGGTTTTGGACCTTTGTTGATATGGCTAGCGGGCGTTATCTTTGGAGGCATGTGGTTTCTTCTTCTTCAAAGCGCTCCAGCTGATGATGTGTTGTTGGTGATTGCAAAATTGCATATCGGGTGATTGATTAATATCAATATGGATATCATTTGTCTTTGATGCTGTAATATTTTGGAGCAATTTGCACATCTTTGTAATTTGTATCATATCTGTTGTTCATAGTGTTTTGTTGTTGGTTTTGAATTTGCAATACAAATAATGATAATGATGATGATGATGATGATGATAATGATGATCTTGATTGATATATGTCAAACATATAGATAGAGTGTGTTCTTTTACTGTTTCTGTTATGGATTTGAGTTGCTTCTTGTTTTCATTTGAAGTTATAAGTTTCAAGGGTACTTTATTTTATGGTCATGTGAATGGAAGTTTTAGTGTGCTGTCAAAGCATTGATGTTGATGGTAAGTTATAAGCATTGATGTAGGAATAAATAGTATACGTCAGTTGTTGCATTTTCTTGGTAGAAATTTATATCATTATATGAGACAGGTAGACATGGTGGCAGGGTAAATTTTAGCAGGATAGAATCAGGATTTTATGCTGGAATAATGAAGGGAAATTGGTGGATTAAAGGGTTAATTGATGTACTTATATGTGTTTGTTATACTTTATAGTTGGTTCATTCATAATTCTTAATTGGATAATGGTTGGGAACCAAGTTATTGGTTGCTGAGTATTCTAAATTCTAGGGAAAAGTATACTTGTTTCCATATTCAGAATCCAGATATTGGACTAGGGACCACGAAAACAGTGCTTAAACTCAAAATGAAGAAGAAATTGATTTTTTATCAAGCAAGTGATTGTATCAACTTCCCTAGATGGCCAGAAATAAGTGAGAATGTTTTGATTGCAACAAGGTGTGTAGAAGTTATGAAGTTTGTAATAAGTAAAAATAAACCAAAAATTTGTAATGATATGCAAAGTTTCATTCTTCACACATGGATCTTGTAACACAGTGTAGATTGAGGAAAATAAACTTGTCTTAGATTCAAGCGCTACAGGCCTTGATCTATTGCAAATACATCCTACGTTGCAATTATCAATTGCAAGTGGTTAGTACCCACTACAATCATTAAGAGATATTTTTTGAGAAATGCTCATCCAATCCTATTGGGTGTGGCTCACACATTTGAAAACCCGAAAATATCTCCTCTATTTGAAGATGCATATTCGGACGCATTCAAAAATCACACCACCCATCACATTTCAGACAACCACCCCATTTTTTGGTCAAAATATTCTCCGAAGGTGCATCTTCGTAATCTTTGGAGTTTATATGGAGATACGACTATGTAAAACTCCAAGTTCTCATTTATGGTTTTGTAATTCAATGAACTGATTTATTTAGCAACTCACTGATGTTGAGATGCATCTATATGGAAATGTCAAATGGAAAATTGGATAAAATGTCATCTTGCATGTTCTTTTTCTTCATGTTGAAAAACAAGTTTACTCTTAAAACCCTTAAAAAAATTCTTCCATTATCAATCAACTTTTCAATAGCAAAATATCATTCTTGTATTTTATCACACCAAAGAGAGCAAAAGAAATTTGAATTTAAGGTAAACTTTATTTATTTCACCCCTTATTCCTTGCATTAAATATGTTTTGAGTTGAAAATATGTACATTGAGTTCGAAGATAGATATCTGAACTCAGTTTCATGTGATCTGGAGTTGTATCTCCAGATGTTCTTGATAGTTTTTTAATTTATTTTTCTGTTACTATTGTTGTTAGATATGGTGTATCCAAATATGTTTCCCAAAGTTACTGTGAGGATGAATGTTAAATCGGTCGAAGTGAAAGATGATGTTAAATTGGATGAAGTGAATGATGATGTTAAATCAAATGATATCAAATCGAGTGCTAGACCGATTGTTGTTGAGGGAGATGTTCATGAATAATTTACAAATAAACAAGAGTTTATGGTTTATGAATGTATGCTACAATGAGTTCGCATGGAGGCTGGGAAATTAGGATTTGGCGTTGTAATAAGAAGGTAGGACAAAGGTATTGATAGAAGACAAACATTTGTAACAATGAAATGCGAAAGAAGTGACACATACCAACTGGCAAATAGGAAGTTGAAACATGATGACACCAAATTGAGAAAATGTGAGTGTTCATTTAAATTGCATGGATACCGTAAGGTGAATGATACATGGAAATTTAATGTGGTTTCTGGTATACATAACCATGCCTTGAGTGACTGATAAATGCTTGATTCATCAAAATTATCATATTATTACATAACATTTATCTGACTTAATTGACAAGATTATAAAATAAAAACCTCAACTAATTGAATAAAAGTGTTATTGTGCAAGTTTACTTAGTTTGGTTTGCATTTGTGTAGGTTATGACCCTTAAACAAAAAACCAGAAAACAAATGCTTTGTTAAGCGAAAGTTGCAGTGAACAGTTCGCTTAGCGAGCTTCCAACGAATAAAGTCACAAGCAAATCACCCAGTTTCGCCAGTAGCGAGAAGAAGCGAAGCAAGTTCGCTTAGAGAATCGGGAATTCGCTTAGCAAAACAGGGCAGTCAAAGAAAGATATTTTAAAAAGACTTTAGGATGAAGAAATCAACTTCGTCAAGCGAGCCTCACCTCGCTTAGCGAACTTTGGCGGTTTCAGAAGACAAGTTGATTTGAAAACTTAGAAAACAAGTAAAGACTTAGTTTAGCGAAATATAGTTCGCTTAGTGAACTCAGGCGGCCAAAACTGCTATAAATAAACCATAACTCGTTTTAGGAAAAGCATTACAGTTCTTATCATTGTAATACCTCTGAATATACTCTGTAATATTAGTAGAATATGTGTAGAGGATATTGTAAGGTAAGGAGCTATATTCGTATAAATAGTTGGGAAATCGTCGTTGATATCGTTTCAACTCAATTCTCCATTTGTGCTTCAAGATACCATGAGTAGATAAATCTCTCTCTCTCTCTCTTGTCGAGATTGGTTGTAGTTCGTTGAAACATTATGTATTTACTTTGATAATGGCGTTATATGTAATTTATGTTTGAATCATTATCATTGTTATCTTTGTTTTACCTTTTATTTCATGGATTGAATTGATATTGACAAATACGGTTCTAATCTCGATCCAAGATAACAATTAGTAAACTCTAAATGCTAGACATATATTTAGGTTTAATATTCATGCAAAGTATCAAATCTTAATGCTACTGTATCATTTAATAGGCTGAGAAATCATCGATTAAACATAAGGTAAGAAATCTCATCAAAGTTTAGACATGAACTTTGTTTGTGTACGATACATGATAATCTTGAAACATTCCTAAATTATGTATAACTGATATGAGATTTACATACTGAATCGGTGAATCAAAACCAATTCCCAAAATATCTATTCCTCTTAATCTTACCTTTCGTTACTCTACGCATTTACTTTTCGTCACTTATAAACCAAACAAATCCTAAAACTTATGCTTAGACTTATAGAAATTGTTGAATGGTTTTGATATCGCTCCAATCCCTGTGAATACGATAAAATAATACTTTCATTTGACTATACTCAACATCAAATTGGCACCGTTGTCGGGGATTTCCGTTTAAGGTATTAAAACATCGCAATCGTTTCTCTACTTCTAAGTTTTGTGAATTTGTTATATATTGTATATATATTTGTTTTTCGCAACCGTTTGTTTAAGTGTTTGGATAGGTGAAATTTTTGTTTATGCTCCGGGGCAAAAGTTCGGAAGAAAAACTTCTTTTGATCCCGAGATCGAAAGAAAAATCCGAAAGAACAAGAGACAAATGAAGAAACAGAAACAACTATCCAAAAAGAAAAATCACAAAGGAGTTTCTACATCAACTTCCTCAATAAATCATCTTATCAATGAAACAATGGTCGAAGTTATCAATGGTCCGTGCGTAAGCAGTCCAAGGCGACTGGCTCGTCTCAACAACAATCTAGTTGCAAGACGAGATGAAATGAAAACAGGGTTGCTACAGATTATTTACGCTAACCCTTTCACAAAATTCTATGAGTTGGCTGGTACTTTAGGTGCACCAGAAGCCGAAGAAGGGGTTGTTTTCATGAGATTGTTTTCGCATTCCTTTATCGGTAAAAAAAGGATTGGTACCTTGACCAACCTATTGAAATCATGACAAATTGGAATGTATTGGAGGAAAACTTTCTTAACAGGTTTTTTCTGCACAATTGATTCATGAATGCAAAAACAACAATAGCCGCATTCATGCAAAGTGCAACAAAAACTCTTTGTGAAGTTTGGGAATGCTACAAAATTTCATTATGCATGTCATTACCAGCATAGAGTCGAATGTCGATTGGAATGGCGCTAGGACTGAGTTTTTCTGTCCACAACATGGAATTTGTCAAGGGGATCCCATATCGCTGGATATTTCCGTATTATGCATGGTGTTGTCCCCAAAATTTGCCCTCCCATATTCTCCAAGATTTGTCAAGAATCAGTCAAACAGAATTTTTCTTGTCAGTCTAGCCAAATTAGGGTTTTCATGGACTTTTGATACGGTTCAAACAAATTATTAGGGTTTGGTTGATTTTGGCTCAGGTTTTGATCAGGCGGACGCTTCTTTGACATTTAACCAAGAATCAGGGTTTTGTGCGCGCATTCTCAGAAAGAATTAATTCTATAGTTCTTTTCAATTTACTCTGGGGTATGGACTGAGGCCTCTGATTGAGAGTTTGCAGTGCTTGATTTAATCAGTAAAAGGGATAAGCATGTGGATGTTTGTTGGATTTGACTTTGCATTGCTTATGTTTTATTGGGACGTCAGGTTATTATTGATTGCAAGGCTACAATGTTTGTTAATTATTTATTTTATCTAAGTTAGAATAATTGGATTTACTTCCAGTTATTTTAATTCAAGAAAGCTTAAATAATTAAATAGACAGCTGAGATAAAAGATATATCTGACAAAAGTGGATTTTATTCATCTTTAATTATTTGTTACAATTATTATTTGTACACTGTAAATTTATTTACAGATGTTTACATTAATAATGTTACAA